GGGGGGGGGGGGGGGGGGGGGGGGGGGGGGGGGGGGGGAGGAGGGGAAAGCAAAGGGTGTCAGGATGCGCGGGGTAGCATGGCGCCCGGGCCGGGCCGAGGCGGGCGGAACGCACCCAAGAGAGGACATCATTGCGGCAGACGGCACACTGATTGTTGGGAACCAATTGATTGGTGGCCAGGGTCAAGATACCGGGCGACGACTCGAAAGGCTTCGGCTGGAGACGGGCCATGGCGCCGCATTGGGTGGAGCTGAGCGAAGAGGTTGTGGCCCGTCAGTGGGAGGGAAACATGCGGGGCCGCTTTCCGGCCTTCCGCGCCTTTCCCTTGGCCGTGTGGTCTGCGGGAGAAAAAAAAAGCGACCCAGGTGCGCACCAAAAGGTGGTGCTCCGGTCGCAAGACTTGCACATGTAGACATGGTCGACACCCTTGAAGTTGGTGGAGCTGAGGATGTGCACCGTTCGTTGGAGGAGACACCACGAGCAGGCCGACTCCAGGTGCACGGCATCGGCCTTCTGGATGGTGGAGGCTCGGATGCTGCGAAAGATGTGTCAGCTGGCGGGAGGGAAGCGCCAAGCAAAATGCATGGGGAGAAGGAGAGGGGGGGGGGGGGGGGCGCGACCCGGCTCGGGGGCGGGCAGGGCATCCGAACGCACCAGACCTTGAAGATCCCGCGGAATTCATCCTCCAGCGAAGTGTCGGTGTTCTTGACGAAGAGGGAGAAGTGCAGCGCCGAGAGGGCCTTGTCCAGGGTGCGGACCAGCTGCTGGCTGCACTCGGGCGACAGGAAGATGGCCCCCGGGTAGTAGAAATCACTGCAGCATGCCCGGTGGATATGGTGTCAGCGCGAGGGAGGCCAAGCGGTGGAAACCGGCAAAAGGAAACCGAAAGCGAGAGGGAGATGGGGGGGAAGCACAGGCCGAGTGGGCCGCATGTACCTGCAGTAGTTCTGGTCGCGAAGGAGCGTCTGTGGCACCGGGCACAAGTTAGCCGTCAGGACAAGCGGTGGAAACCGGCAAAAGGAAACCGAAAGCGAGAGGGAGATGGGGGGGAAGCACAGGCCGAGTGGGCCGCATGTACCTGCAGTAGTTCTGGTCGCGAAGGAGCGTCTGTGGCACCGGGCACAAGTTAGCCGTCAGGACGAGTGACAAAAGACAGGGGCGAGGGCAGGAGTGGTGCGCACCAGAATGTACGCATCCAGCTGGCCCTCCATCAGGAAGAACTTGATCAGGGCCCGGCCACGACCACGGCCGGTTTTGATGTCGGGCAGGCTCCACACTTGGTCCAGGGTGGCGGAGGCCACCGGCATGAGCTGTGCGCATCCGGGGGGGGGGGGGGGGGGG